AATGTGACGGTCAATCCCACTATTCGTTGGTAAAAGAGTAGCCCAAGAGTTGGCGGTGGGTGGTGATGACTAGCTGCCTTCCCTCTAGTCTTACACTGCTAAATTAGGGGATGGTTGGGGTCAGGAAGGGCATCCGGCCGTAAAAACCCTACCAACACCAAAAATAGCGACTCCGTATAGATACGGGAAGAAGCTACAGAAGAAGAAGTTGTAAATAAAATCGTAGTAAATATTACATTGTTTAACACATGTAAAACATGTCATATAAAATCGTAGTAAATATTACAGACGTTTAACACATGTAAAACATGTCATATAAAATCGTAGTAAATATTACAGACGTTTAACACATGTAAAACATGTCATATAAAATCGTAGTAAATATTACAGACGTTTAACACATGTAAAACATGTCATATAAAATCCAGTATACGATTACGGTAATTTTTTTTCTACTTTTCTACTCTAATTGGGAAGTGTTTAGGTAAGCGTTTCCCAAAGTGTGGGCGCCCCTACCGCGGGTGGGTGGTTGGGTGCAAATGATTAAGGTAGAGTCATTTGTGTAATAATGCAAAACTAAGCGCTTTAAGATATATTTTTTATTAACGAAAATAATTAGTGATTAATATAACACATTTTAATGTGTATCCGTCTATTACATCTCGTCACTTAACTTACTCGCGTAAAAAACCATATTTATTAAGGGGGGGATTATGAATGACACAAATATGGGAAACGCTGGTTTAGGTAACGTCGAAGCCTCAAGGAGAGAAACAAATATAAAATAGTTTTTGTGTTTCCCATGACCCAATGTTTGACCAGTAAAAACTTTGATTATTCTTAGGTTTAGGATACTAGTATCTATATATTTATATATATATATATTTTATAAAAACATTTGACGTAACGTTTTTATCTTCCTGACGTCACCGGAAGGAGATAAGGGAGAAACCATGATCGTCCTTTTTTTCCGTAACTGTCAAGAAGACGAAGAGAATAATAGCAACAATCCTTCTGTGAACACTGGGTAACAGCTTGGAACTTCGGAGAAATACAGATTTACAGATGATTGGCAAGAGGCCCTTGAACAATCAAAGGAACGATTATAGAAGCTAAACAAAAACTGACTGAACTTTATGGCTAACATATATCAATAAACTGATACTATCCAGTATTTAAAGTATTATAAAAGACTAAACAAAAACTAGACTGAACTTTATGGCTAACATATATACAATACTGATACTATCCAGTATTTAAAGTATTATAAAAGCTAAACAAAAAACTGACTGAACTTTATGGCTAACATATATCAATAAACTGATACTATCCAGTATTTAAAGTATTATAAAAGCTAAACAAAAAAATTTATGAACGTTATGGCTAACATATATCAATAAACTGATACTATCCAGTATTTAAAGTATTATAAAAGCTAAACAAAAAATTTATGAACGTTATGGCTAACATATATTAATAAACTGATACTATCCAGTATTTAAAGTATTATACAAGCTAAACAAGAAAAACTGACTAAACGTTATGGCTAACATATATCAATAAACTGATACTATCAAGTATTCAAATTGTTTTTGAAATCTCTGTTGCTCGATATATTTATTATATAGAATACAGAATGATTTCCTATATTGTGATATTGTTGCATAGTGGTATTTCTTAACATTGATACGACAGGTTAATTTTAAAATTAGATCCCATGTGAATAATATGAATATTACTTTGTATCTCAGGCACTTCCTTCACAAACACAACTCAAAAAGAGTTCACTAGTTGCTCAAATTGGTGAAATTAACATTCTGAAGACTGTTTACCATGAACCACGATAATGGTTCATAATATGGATCGCCCAATAGAACGTTCAGGAAAAAAGCAACTTAAACGGTAAAGATTCAGTTCAAACAACACTTTTAAACCTTTACTATCGATTATTAAGGCTGTACACGTATAAAAATGCACAAAAAAGTACGCATGTTAGATTTACAAGGAAAA